TCGTGGCCCTTAGGATATGGGGATTCTTTTCTTAGATCATCCTGGCAAGCTTTGTCCTACAATCAGCTGATCAGGCTCCTACTGTTACAATCTTGCTTCCATGTGGTTAAATTCGCTTCATCGAGCCCTTCACGACTTAATTTCATGTTTGTGAAAATGCTTAAAATGTAGATGAAAATGCAAAAAGGCAAAAATGCAAAATGCAAGAATGCATGAAATGTTCGAGGCATTGATCCAGAAAAGTGTCCATTATCATAAATAATCCTTATTCAGACAAAAATGTTTTATCTTGTAAGAGACATAAAAACAATAAAAGGTATGTTCGGACTAAATCTTCTAGACATCCATCCGAGATACTTTCTTCCATGACTCGACTGCTTCTTTGATCATCTTCTTATAACTGTCACCATGATACATAAACTCTGATATAGATAATCCATTTCTCTAGGAACAACCAGGGGGCTCTCCAGGTAATATCCCGGTCCTGTAGATGAGTGAAGACTTTCATCCATTTCTCTTTTGAAGCGCCTTCATATCCTGTCATGGTGATGAACTCTCTCAAAGGTGAATACGTAGTGTTAAATCTACAGTAGGCAACCCCATTAGTCTTCTAGAAGTGGATGTGAATCCAGACTTGAAGGAACTGAACACATCCAATGAATCTACCTCCGCCAGCTCTTCGGCAATGGTTGAGAGACCAAAAGGTCTCGGCTGAGATGGTCGGTGATGGGTTGACTCGTTTCGGAAGTTGCTCAAACAGTTCCACCACGGCTGCGTCAATGCATCCTAAAACCTTCGGAAAGATGATCAAGCCATACAGACCTAGTGCAAAAAGGTCTATAGTCTTGCCCGTTACCTTTGTTTCGGAGTCGGTCAGTCACCCATTTTTCATCAACTCCTGCAATCTTAGCCAGTCCGTTCTTGAAAGGCTGACTCTTGATGTGTTTGATGTAGGCTCGCTCCAGTTTAATGCTTTCACAGTGCAATAGTGTAGTATACTCCTCGATGGTAGGTACCATGTCCTCCTGGTTAAAAGTGAAGCAATTGTATCCCAGGTTCAAAAATTGAACCAAGACTCTGATTAAGGGCTCATCGGTCTTAACATGAAGCAAAAATGCAATGTCACCATACCGCTGACTGAACTTCTATTTCCGATCATTCTTCCAACTATCTCAGATGTTTCGAAGTTCTTGCACATTATTCTGTTTTAGGTTGATAGAGGCGTAGCTAACCAGCAGCACTGACTGTCTCCCTTTTCCTTCTGAGTCTTCTCGGACCATAGTCGTACCTCGGGGTTTTTAATCTCTTGTATTACAACACCTTTGTCCATGGATTTAGATTATTCGAGTTTTAACAAACACGTTTTAGTGGATCAATGACCTCTTTTATGATGCAAGTGATGAAAATAAAATAAAAGAAAGATGAAAAGAGTTAGTGAGGTGAAAAAAAATAAAAAAACGATCATAAAAATGAAAGTCCTACCCCACATGATATCTACCCCACATGCTTATTATTCCTACCCGGACATGATCTCTATCCCGCGTGCTACTTTCAAACAAATCCTAACCGCATATTTGTCTAGTTCGCATGCTTTGAACAGAAACTAAAGCAGGAAACAAAGCAGCCTAGGGTTTGGAATGAGATTTTGGGGTGGGCTCTAATTCTCCATGGTCTCCTGGTTTAGGTGCTAAAAAATGGTACCCGAGTTCTCCTTGCTGGTGCCCCCTTGGGCTTGCCAGACCCTTAGTCCTAAACCCATCACAGGCTTGTGTGGACTAAGTTAAACTCGAGAGGAAACATTCCCTTATGCCCATACGGAGAATAAATTCACACGAAGGCATAAGGTATATGAATCCCGAAGGTTACTTGCTAGGCCCATACGGAGAATAAATTCACACGAAGGCGTCGCTTTCATCCCCACTTAAATAGGGTTCGGAGCTCGGGTATAGAGCCTTTAGATGAAAAATCTTTAAGGGCTGAAATCATTAAAAAACGGTCAGTACAACTATTTACTTCGAAATATAATCAAAAGTAAGCAATAAGGATCGAAATGTTACCTTAAAATTTAAACTTACCCTTTTCATTAAAAAAAACAACTGGAAATTACCTTAGCCTGACTCACTTACGGTCCCCAGCGGAGTCGCCAAGTTGTCTCAACCGTCTTTCGGTTGGGCCTCAGAATTGGGCTTCGACTTGAAAAATGTGGATTGGAGTCGCCACCGATCATTTATTTAAAAATAAATGGGTTGATCGGATACCCTATTTCTTACCTGATCTGCGTCTTACCAGAAATATGTTGGGTTCGGGAGTCGGTTACGGTCAAGGAAGGATTAGCACCCTTGAACCGCCCTTTCGGTACTACGTAATTTCCAGTTGTCTTAATTAAGAAAAATAACAAGTTAAATTAAAAGGTAAAGTTTCGATCCTAATTACTTACCCTTGATTGATTTGAAAAAAAATCGGGAAATGTGTTAGATAAACAAGGTAAAGAAAACAAATAAGATACAAGGGAAAAATAAAATAAATAAAATAAGTAAGTAAGATAAGAAAAAAATAGTAAAGTAATAATTATATATAGTAATATTTGAAAAAAGGAAAAAATATAATATATATATATATCAAAGTATTAATAAAATAATAAGCTATATATGTACACCAAATACTTAAAAATAGAAAAGCTACCCTCCTAATTCACCGAAAATGGGGGGCTCTAGTAAGAAATAAGACAAAAAAATGGGCCCTCTAGGTTAGTAGTATATAATATAATGTTTAATAATGATATGATAAAGACACAAGGTTTTTAAAAAAAATAATAATATAATAATAATGAATAAAAAAACGAAAATAATAAAAATAATATAAATATATAAAGTTATAAGATATATTACATAAATAAAGAAATAATCAAATAAAAATAATTAAGAATATATATATTCAATAATATGTATATAAATAAACTATTAAAAGTATAAAAAATATATACGACTAGATAAAGATAATTTATATATATAGTAATATTAGACTTATAAGTAAAATATTAAAGAAATATATATAATAATAGTAATAAAAATAGTAAAAAATCAAATGAAAATAATTTAATATATATATATATATACATATAATAATAATACATGAATAATAATAAATGAATAATATCCATATAATAAATAAAGGGACTAATATAGATTTTTAAAAAGCTCTTCTCCTCTTTTAACCGAAAATCAAACCGATTTTTAAAAAATAAGCCTCGGGGTAGATCTAGGTTCGAAACTTCGAAACCCCACCCATTTTGATCATCGGCACAACCCACGTTTTGGGTTATTCGAACCAAATATCAAGAACAATAACGTGCACATGCAAAAGAAATAAAAATGAAAATGCTACCTTTTATTTCCTTTTCGAATCCTTTACAATAGCTTTGCTTTTGTATCTTCCCGTGCTTTCCTCTATGTTTTGTGTGTAAATCGTGTCTTCAAATGGTGAGTTACAATGGCTATTTATAGTGCTTGTGGATCCTATCTTTAGGAATTTAAATAATAGTAGAACTCTATCCTATTTTTAGGAGTTTGAATCCTAGCAAAATTTTATCCTATTTTTAGGAGTTTGAATCCTAAAATTCTATCATATTTTTAAGAGTTTAAATCTTAGTATGACGAAAAATGTGTGTTGACACACATCAACGTTTTAGTATCATTTATTTATTTTTGCAATCACGGCATGATTGACTTCTCTCCAATTTTTCTTTGAATTTGAACTCGTTTCTTATATGTACGCTCCCCTTATTTGATTGTGAGTCACCTTCCCATGTACGCTCCCCTCTATATAAATCAGTTGTCAACATTTTCTATCACTATAAACTATGAATTTAATACATATCATATAATTTAACCATTTTTAATCTTTAAACTCGTTAACTGGTCTTGATAGTTAAAGAGAATATTGTTCTTCCAATAAATCATGGGTTTGAGCAATTGTATCTATAGAGTGTGTATGCATTGTCAATAGTTAATAAAGATTCTGAACAAATACTACATTGTAATCATTTAAAATAATTAAAAAATATATTTTTAAAATTTAAAAATTCAATATTAATTCAAATAATAACAATTAAATTTGTTGAGTCAAATATGTTGTTAGTTATAATATTATACATAAGTTATGATTCAATTCAAATTCTCTAATTTATCACTTTAAGTCCTTATAATATTTTTTTATTTGATTAAAAAGATATGAATTTGAATTTGACAAAATTTAAGTGTATATATTAAATAATCCATAACTCAATATATATAACATGGACTAGTGGCATAATTTGTCCAATTAAATAACACCCAATTTGTTTTATAGCTATTCTTTCCGTATTTCTTACTTGAGAGTGGCATAAAACCCTTATTTTCTTTATTAATTAATCTGGTACTTACCCAGAGTAATTATTGTTGTTGTTGAAAAGCAGGAGTTATGCTCTTTATAGTCTTGAGAGGGCCAATGGTGAAGGTTTCCTCTAAAATCTCAAGTATAATAGCATGATAATTTTATCTGATATCATGTTAAATTTATTTAGTTATGTGCTGAATTACTAGTTGATTTGATTAAATATTTTTAATATGATAAAATTAAAATAAGATTTATTTTAATTATAACTTAGCTTGCATTACATGTCTACATCGAATTAAATTTAAAATATTTTTTAGAAAATAATTCGATTTTGAAGCCCAACCCATCATGCCGGGCCGAATATTCTTTCCACTCGTGAACAAATTTATCTAGTAATATCATTATTTGTTTTTTTTCCAAAATAAAAAACTAAATGATTTTAGTAAAAATCTGAAACTAAAGTGATAACGCTGTTGTAAAGGCGATAACGATTTCTGTGTCCTCTAAACAATGATAGACAAAGACAAGCAATTTTGAGTGAGGGAACTGAAAATAAAAAAGTGCTGACAAAATAACTTTCACGTGTTGTTGAATTAATATCAGTTTCCAACTTTTAAAGAAATGAATGCTTAAAACCCCATGGCCATGGACGAACCATATATCTTCTTCTTAATTTTATCAACAGTTGTTTACATATAGAATTCCAACATTCCAAACCTCGCATATGGCCATTTGCAAAGAGGCAAAGCAGACTAAAAGACACCGGAGCAAGCCTTATTCTGCAGAATTCTACCCCACAAAAGCAAGAAAATAAGCTAAAAACAAAGCGTGATTTGCTCACATATACTCAGAGATGATAATTAATCTTTGTATCAGACCTATACACGACAATTAAAGACCAAAAAACGAAAAGAAAAATCTGTGATGCACACCTGATATGTGAGAGAGTTGCATTAGTTCAATTCAAGTTCCCCACATGCTAGAATTTTGTATAGGTTCTTCTTGCTGTTGATTACGAGGCCACATGGTGTTTGACGAATTATTTGTGAGGAAATCTGTTTCCGATTTGAAGTCGATGTTGTACATGGATTGTTGAGTTTGGTTCTGCAAAGCAGCCGCCATTAACAATGGGTTATTCAGATATTCAGCCCATTTGATTTCATCAGCTTGAGTTTCCATTAGATGAATTGGGTTTGGAGAAGCTTCTTTCTCTGGTGTGCTGCAATCTGCTAATCCCCAAGAGGAGCTATTGTTCTCGTAGAAAGAACCGTTGCTTTGTAGCTCGGTGCTGGTGCTGTTGCTGTTGTTAGCTGAGGCCGCACCGGTTTCCCAATAGTGGGAACCATTTACAGCTACGGAAGGCTTGAACCCCATCGGAGCAGAGGGGAACGGATTCGTGGATGGCGGGAGAAAAGTGGTCATCGTTGCCGAAGATAATTCGGAATCGATATCGAACGCTTGCCTAGTTTGATTGAACCAGAGAGTTTGGTTCGAGAGCCTGGCATTTGACGCATAGTTCAATTGTTGAATCGGTAGATGCCCCACCAAATCAGATGGCTGCTGGTCGTTGGTGTGGTTGTTTCCATTGTTGTTGTTGATGTTCATTGTCTTGGAGCTCGGAGAGCCTTCCATTTCCGATCGGTAACGTACATCTTGTACTGTAACTGACGTTCCAGTCTTCGGATTGTCCGAAGCCGTCATGTCCTTGCGGTTGGTGTGCTGTTGACCCTTGTTGTCTTCCCCATTTTCAACCTCGGAGAGGGGTTTGTGAGTGACAGGATCAATGCCCCTCTGCCTAAGCTTCTTCTTCAAGCAAGAGTTCCATAGATTCTTAATTTCGTTGTCGGTTCTTCCCGGCAGTTGTGCAGCAATTTGGGACCACCTGAGAATCGAACCAAAGCAAAGAATTTTTACATAAACCTGCAGTATAATTTATAAAATCATATAATGAAGAAAGAAAAAAAAATACCTGTTACCCAAAACTGCATGAAGTTCAATTATGAGATTTTTTTCTTCCTGAGAGAATGCACCTCTCTTTAAATCAGGCCTCAAATAATTAATCCACCTTAATCTGCAGCTCTTTCCACACCTCTGCAGACCTGCAAGTTTCGTCAATAATTCGGGGAAGTTAATGATTTAAAGAAGAAACCGACACGAAAAAAAGAGGTAAATTAGTGGGAGGAAGTTACCAGCTTGTTTAGGGACAGAACTCCAGCAGCCATGGCCGTACTTGGTGATATGCCTTAAGAGCTTTTCGTCTTCTTCAGGAGACCAAAGACCTTTCCTTAGCTTCTGCTTGTAACAGCAAGAGTGCCGCCCCATTTGTAGACCAGACCAAATCACAACGAGGAAGAAACGTTTCCTAAAACAGCAAGTTTCGCTGAATCCTAGGTGAGATATTGTCAGCAAACGACTAGGGGTCTGGTTTCTCAACAGTGTCTTTGAATGCTTTGGTAAGGAAAAAAAAGGGAAAATGCAAAAGAGAGAGAGAGAGAGAGAGAAAGAAAGGTGGAGGCCTAGAAAGTGAAGTAGCAACTGAGAAAAGGAGTTGAATTAATATAAGAGGAGACCTCAATGAAAGAAAAGTCGCATTCATCAAGTGTTATAGTTCTCCCCCACATCTTCTTCCATTTTATTTTATTTTTATTACAAAAGCAACGGTTGTCTGAAGATTAAAATTACCACGTATTATATATTTTAATATTTTAACTAATCAATTGAATTTAATGATAAAAGAGTGATTCTCTTAAAAGATTTTATTTTAAATAATTATGTTTATAGAGTGTGTAAGTTAGTAATAGATCAAAAACATTTGAATAAATATTACCTTATAATTAATCTTAAATTATTCAAAAAATACATTTTAATATTTAATACGAGTACAAACCAATTGACTTTAGTGACTAAAAGAATAATTGTTATATCAAAGTTATTGGGTTCAAGCACAACGTTCACAAGGATGTTTAAAAATTTATTATCAAATAATTAAAAATCTTTTAAATAAATATACTCTATTCGTCCCACTTAATGTGTTCCTTATTAATTTTTTAAAAATAAAAAAAATTAAACTTTGATCATAATATTTCGATAGAACATATTTTGTAATTATAAGAAATAACTTATAACTATCCTAAATTAATTAAAAAATATTTAATACAAAATTTCGGATTACAAAACTCCAACTCGAGATGATATTATTTAAAAGAAATCGAGATAAGTAGTCTGAGTTGCATGTGTCTCATCAAAGGTCTGAGAATGTCCTGTGCAGGGATGGTAGGGCATTTTTTGGGGCCTGATTTATTATTCTGACACGAAAATGAGAAACACAGGTTTAACTTCAGCCAAGTTCAAATGGTAAAATTTCTGTTAACGGTAAATCTCTTTTTACACAAGTCAAAAGTAAATAATTTATGGTGCTTAAATTCGAAATGTAAAAACTTCTCCGCTTCTGCAAGAAATTACTGTCGCTTTGCTTATGCACACAACACAAGTTGTTTACTCCACCAGCAGTTTTGGGGAATTCTTGTGACCATTTTGAGCAATTTATATCATTTCATGGAAAAGAACAAATTATTCATTTTTGTTGAGATTTCACATATAAGAATGTGTTTGCTGTTTTTGATTAATTCCATTCAGTGTTATAACTTGCCTTACAGTTTCCAGATTGAGATTTAGTACTAATTCCCTTCCTCATCCTTTGAAATTTGGAATCCTTTCTCCTCACGGAAATCATCGAATTTGAGAAACAGATCATAATTGTTGTCCTCACATATTTACTTCGTTGAATGCGACTACGTACTCTGTTTCTTTATTCCTTTTAGATCTATTTTTTAATAACTTTTCGAACTATATATATCTTATTAACTTTAGTCGTTTAATTTTTTTTATTAAAAGTATGTTTAATATTTTAATTTATAACTATTTACAGGTTATTTGTTTTAAAAATCGTTATTTTTCATTAATGAATTTTTCAAGCTTCTAATTTTTTTTATTTCTTCGTCTCGTTATCATAAGTAAAATTGAAATCTTTTTGACTATTTTTTGAGTTGAATTGTTGATTTCACTTAATAATAGAATAGTTCTCAATATCGTAGCGTTTTGCACTAATTTTTTGGACTTAATTTATTTTCATAAAAAAATAAGAACAAAAGAGTGTATATCAAATTTGATACAACAGAAAAGATTGAAAAGTTGAAGTACTTAAGACTTATAATTTTTCGATTTCTCAAAAATAAAATAGTTTTTTTTTAATTTCTGTTATTTTTATTTTTCTTCTTTAAAAATCGTAGAGAAAAAAAAGGGAAAACGAAGAAAATCCACTTTAATTAAAGCGCATACTTAAATAAAACTTTAACAAAGCCAAAAAAATATAAATTTTACTATTTAAACACTTATTCTACTATTAAACCTTCCTTTCATATTACCAGCTAATATATTTCAACGCCAATGAATATTGATATAAATGTTTGGAATTCAAAATTTAAATTTATAAGGTTAAGTTCAAATTTTATTACCGTCACTCTTGATGAACATTTTCAACTAAAATCTTGTGTCGGGTATTTTTAACAAAAAGGTATAGCTGAAATACCAAAGACCCAATAAAGCCAAAAATCCTCAGGTACTCGAGAAACCAAAAGTGAATGAATGTATTTTAAGCTTTGAGGCGACTGGTCATGAATTCTGACGACTGCAAATAACTTGAGGGGCTGCAAAACAGAGGGTACTCACCAATTACAATATACAAATACAGCAAGAAACATTGGACTTTTCAACCTTCACGAATGATTGAAAATTAAATACAAATTATCCTTTTTGATTAATGTCCATGTTATTCTGGGTAAAACAACCCCCCCCCCCCAATGCCACAACTTTACTGGTTTCGGCCGTCCATGGACAAGACAAGACAAGACTTCCGGTGAAAAGAATCTCAAATGTTTGCTGGAGTTTGATTTGCACAATCCAAAACCTTTTAAAATATTTTATATTCAATCATTATGATGATTATAAGATTATTGCACAAATGCACGATACGGCAAACAATTCTCGGAAACTCGATATTTAAATTCGTAAAAAAGAAAGCAAACTCTGAACGTTGCATATTAAAATAACAGAACCAAATCCTTCTGCATCTCTATTCATAAATCCAGACTTTAACTCCCTAATCCCTGCTGTTCCTATATTCCTTTTTTTTCTTGTTCGTCTTTTTATTTAGCCAGCCAGGACGAAGGTCATCATATTAAATTCCCAATTGACAGATGGTCAATTAGTAACAGTTTGATTTAAAAAGTACAAATTTTCTGCAAAATTTTAAAATTCCAGGATAATGCATCGTTGAGATTTTAAAATTTAAAAAACCAGTGACCAAACTTAAATCAATAAAACAATCATGCTTAATTTACATCATGAATACAAAGAAAGCAAAGACAAACAGGAGTTAGGAGTATCCTCCTCGTCTTTTACGGTTTGCTAAATGTGGTTTGATTTAAGTAAAAGTATTAAAATTATCCTTACTGATTCTGAACTAATTGTAAGTTTTTATGATTCAAATTCAATTTCAAAAGATACCTTTAACTATGCATGTAGGAAGGTTTATCTTACAAAGACATATCATTTGGCTCTCATTTATTTGTGACAAATCGTTTTAGATTTAAAAACATTTTCTTTAATTATTGTTTGTATATTTAAAAACTTGAGTTGTAACGTCTAGAAAAATATAATTTTATATAAAAAGGGGTAATTGTGGGGTCTTCATTTAAAACTAGAGTCGAAATGGAGGTTGTAATTTGGCTATGTATAAAAAAGGATGCTGGTTGCGATAATAATCATAATTAACAATAATATATTCTATATCTCTATTATATATTTATCAAAACATATTTGAATAATTCTAAAACAAAAACTTAGAAGGCTTGAAAAATAAATAATTTAAATTTAAAAAAAAAAATCAGGCAGGCTGGCTGGGGGCGTTGGTGCTGAGGCATTGGAGCGCCTGAGGCTGAGGGGTTCGAGGACTAATTTTTTTCTTCTGATTTTTGGATAATCCGAAATTAAAATTTCATCGATATATTTTTGATTTGATTATCCGATTTTTGTTTCGATATCTAAACTAAATTATCTAAAAGTTAAATAACGAATCAGATATCCAAATTTTTATATTGAATCAACAGATGAACGGATCGAATCGATCGAATCAATTTTTTTTCCGACCTCGAAAAATAAAGACGGGCATGACCCGCATTGAAATTGTGAGAACGTAGGGCGGAATCTTGATAAGATGGTTAAATAAACAATGATCATAGAACTTATTGAATGAACTAGTGATTAAAATATTTTTTTTAGATTTAAGTAATTAAGTTAACATAATATGTATATATCAATAATTAACAAATTATAAATATATATTATTTTATACTCACTCTAAACTACTTAAAAAACAAATGATTATTTAGGCGGCAAAACAATACTTTAACATCAATTATTTTTCTTTCATCTTGTTTTTGATTCGTTTGGCGTGTAACATAATCAATTCACACATTCCCAAACACTAATAATTGCTTAAAGGAGGCCCATGATTAGAAGAATAATTCGGATATTTTAAATCCCAAATTTTTAATGTGTGAATTAATTTGAGAGATTAGAAGATCAAGGGCTCATATGGACTTCATGTGGATCGGACGGTTGAAAATGAGTTAGTGGAGTCAAATATTTGGAGTGCATGCATGCCAAAATTATACGGAGAGAACAGACGGTGTACTGTAGAGAGAACATATATCTACGCCATCTTTATGGGTCCCAAATGTCTCTAAATTATGCATGGTCTTGGGAACGGAAAAGGGCCTACATATCATTAATTTAACGCTTATTTTTTACCCTTTTCAGTTCAATTACATATAATATATGCTATAATATATATTTATATATAAATTGAAAAACAGATAGAAAATATGTAAAACATTATCAATCTAAAAATTATAACGAAGATATAATTTATTTAATTACGTTAATGACAGGTAATTAACATTTACGAATATATTAAACTAATATTATAAGAAAAAATAATTGATATATATATTTTGATGTGATAATAAGATAATATTTATTCGAAAAACTTTTAATCATTTAATAATAAACACTCAAATATTTTTATATACGCCATGTTTGAACTCAAGACCTCCGAAGATAATAATCATATTTTAATTACTGAGATCGTTTGATTCTACATATATTTTTTAAAATTCAATATTAGATATAATTTTTTAAAGTTAACAATTAAAAGTCTCAACCATCGATATTGAATGCTGTTGTGAATACATACGCATTAATATACGGACTTCTCCACCACAGACTTCCTCATCATTCCATTATCTTCTTCACTATTTTCTTATAAAAACTATGTTTTTCTTTCTCTTATTTTCAACAACAAATATGTCATTAAAAACAATTATTGTTGTCCAAAAAGTGCAATTTCGATATTCTTTGAAATAAG